TAATTAAAAATTAAAATCCATGGGTGTATCTTTTCATTTTTATTCTGTTACGAATATTTCCTAATTTTCCTTGTTACAGCTTCTCCTAACCCATCAATGTATCTAAGAAGCTGTAACAGGGAAAACTAGAAAATATTCATAACAGAATAAAAATGAAAAGAGAATTTATCAGAATTTGTTGCATGCAGCTGAAGTAGCTCAGTGATACTGAATACAATGTGGATTCTTGAATAAGGTAGGAAAACAAATAATGGACACTAACAAAATTTTGTGAAATTTGAACAAAATCTGTAGTTAGTAATACTGTATCATATGTTCATTTCCTGTGGTTCTTTTGTTGTTGTTGTTCCTTAGCTGTGTCTGACTCTTTGCAGCTTTATGGACTGTAGCACACTAGGCTTCTCTGTCCTTCACCATCTCCCAGAGTTTGCTCAAACTCATGTCCATTGAGTCAATGATGCCATCCAACCATCTCATCCTCTGTCGCACCTTCTTCTCCTGCCCTCAATCTTCCCCAGCATCAGGATCCTTTCCAGTGAGTCTAATCTTTTCATCAGGGGGCCAAAGCATTGGCGCTTCAACTTCAGCATCAGTCATTCCAATGAATATTCAGAGTTGATTTCCTTTAGGATTGACTGGTTTGATCTCCTTGCTGTCTAAAGGACCCTCAAGAGTCTTCTCCAGCACCGTAATTCAAAAGCATCAATTCTTTGGCTTTCCGCCTTCTGTAAGATCCAGCTCTCAAATCTGTACATGACTACTGGAAAAACCAAAGCTTTTTCTATATGGACCTTTGTCAACAAAGTGATATGTCTGCTTCTTAAGACACTGTCTAGCTTTGTCATAGCTTTTCTTCCAAGCAGCAAGCATCAAGTAATTTCATGGCTTCAGTCATTGTCCGTGGTGATTTTGGAGCCCAAGAAAATAAAGTCTTTCACTATTTCCATTTTTTATCCATCTGTTTGCCATGAAATGATGGGACCATATGCCATATCTTACTTTTTTGAATGCTGAGTTTTAAGCCAGCTTTTTCCCTCTCCTCTTTCCCTTTCATCAAGAGGCTCTTTAGTTCTTCTTTGCTTTCTGCCATTAAGGTGGTGTCATCTGCATATCTGAGGTTATTGATATTTCTCCCAGCAATCTTGATTCCAGCTTGTGCTTCATCTATCCTGGCATTTCCCATGATGTACTCTGCATATAAGTTAAATAAGCAGGGTGACAATAAAGCCTTGACGTACTTCCTTCCCAATTTTGAACTATTGTTCCTTGTTCAGTTCTAACTGTTGCTTCTTGACCTGCATACAGGTTTCTCAGGAGGCAGGTAAGGTGGTCTGGTATTCCCATCTCTAAATTTTCCATAGTTTGTTGTGATTCACACAGTCAAAGACTTTCGTGTAATCAATGAAGCAGAAGTTACTTTAGCACTAACCTCATAGATGCCAGAATAAATGGAACTACATCAGAAGTAGATGTTTTTCTGGAATTCCCTTGCTTTTTCTATGATCCAACAGATGCTGGCAATTTGATTTCTGCTTCCTCTGCCTTTTCTAAATCCAGCTTGTACATCTGGAAGTTCTCGGTTCACATACTGTGGAAGCCTAACTTGAAGGATTTTGAGCATTACTTTGCCAGCATGTGAAATGAATACAATTTTGTGGTAGTTTGAACATTCTTTGGCATTGCCTTTCTTTGGGATTGGAATGAAAACTGACCTTTTCCAGTCCCGTGGCCACTGCTGAGTTTTCCAAATTTGCTGGCATATTGAATGCAGCAGTTTAATAGCATCATCTTTTAGGATTTGAAATAGCTCAGCTGGAATTCCATCACCTCTACTAGCTTTTTTTGTTTTTTTACAACATAGTATTTCTTATATTCTCAGAATTGAAATAGAAGTTTAAACCTCACTCAACTTAAAAAAAAAAATCACTCAGGTAATAAGCTTTCTAGACTTTTTTAGCAATAATACTATTAGTTTGGTGCAAAAGTAATTATAGTTTTGGACCCTGAATTTTAATTCATTATAACTAGGCTCAAATACATCATTATTAATCAAAATAGGAGTCACAATCTTATTTTGTTACAATCAGCACATTTTTGCCAATGAAAAATAAATTTCTTTATTCCTGTAGCATAAAAATCTGTGCTTCAGGTTTTGATGAACTCTTGGAAAGCATTTTTTGCATCCTGGTGTTTGTGAAAGGATTTTTTTCTGCAAAAAGTTGTCGAGATTCTTGAAAAAGTTGTCAATTGGCGAGAGGCCAGGTGTTTTCACAGAGAAGCATTGGGCCCATTCTGTTGACCAATGCTGGCTGCAGGCATTGCAGTTTTTGGTGTGTCTCAATGTGCTGAGTATACTTATCAGATGTAATGGTTTCCCTGGGATTCAGAAGGCTGTAGTGGATCAGACTGGCAACAAACCACCAAACAGTGACCATGACCCATTTTAGGGTGCAGGTTTGGCTTTGGGAGGTGCTTTGGAGTGTCTTCTCGGTCCAACCACTGAGCTTGTCATCCCTGCTTGTCATATAAAATCCACTTTTCATTGCATGTCACAATCCAATTGAAAAATTGTTGTTGTTGCCTAGAAGAAGAGAAGCAACACTTCAAAAGGATGATGTTTTTTATTTGTGGCAGCTCATGAGGCACCTACACATTGAGCTTTTTCACCTTTAAAATTTGCTTCAAATGCCAAACAACTGTAGAATAGTTGACATTGAGTTTTGGGCAACTTCTTGTGTAGTTTTAAGAGATCAGCTTCAGTGGTCCTCTCAGATGGTTGTTGTCAACTTCCGATGGCTAGTCTCTGCGCTCCTCAACTTCATGCTTCTAATCTTCTTTGCAAAACTTCTTGAACCACTGCTGCACTGTACATTCATTAGCAGTTCTTGGGCCACATGCATTGTTGATGTTGCGAGTTGTCTCTGATGCTTTATGACTCATTTTGAACTGGAGTAAGAAAATTGCTTGAATTTGTTTTTTGTCTAACATCATTTTCATAGTCTAAAATACATATAAAATAAACAAGTAATAATTCATTAGCAAAAAAACATAAGGCAAGAAATGCTCATTAAAAAGATATATAACATAGCCACATTTATTTAAGAATGTATTCCAATATCAAATGGCAAAGTTCAATGATGCAAAACCAAAATTACTTTTGCACCAGCATAATAGATGCCAGAATAAATGGGACTGTGTCAGTTTTGAGTGAATATAAATTAGAAATCTAGCATTCTATTCTTAGTCAAACAAATGTAATCAAAATGTCAAAATTTTTTAGCTGGGCAAAAATTCATAGGCTTTCTAAAATATTTATTTATTATACATACTATTTGTACATATTTATACCAAAACTTTTTTCCTGTACTTGATAAAGACTTGAGAAAGAAAGAAAAAAAAAGGAGATGGAGAAATTGGAAAACAGAAACTAAATGAGAACACTTGAATATGGATAGAAAAAGTAAAATGAACTAGATGAAAGTAAAATATCATCATCTAGTCAAGTTGTTTTTAAACATGACTGCTTATTAGAATCACATCTGGAGCTGTGGAGAAAAAAGCAATACCTGGGTCTTTGAATTTTTCAAAAATTCCAAGTTAATTATAATGTGCATCTGAATTTTAAAAGATGATTACAGGTTTTTCTATTCAATAGTTTTACTGATATAGAGTTATATTATTTTCTATTGACCAATCATGATACAATGGTATTAAATGAATAATAGTTACATAATCACAATTGTAAAAGATGTGTATCAGTTTTTGCAGCCAATAGCCAGGCAAAAAATAAAAGATAATTATAAATATAAGCCATAATGGAAACATGATCCTAACAATACAAAATAATTACATACAATTTAGGGGGTTAAGTAGAGTGATGCAGTAAGTGGAAATGCATACATGCACATGTTTTCACCCATCCAGCCAGTCTATGTCTTTATATAGCTGAGTTTTATAAGGAAAAAATATAGCATATAGAAATATATGATCTTTTTTGGAAAATTGAAGTATATTTGACTTACAATGTGCTAGTTAGTTTCAAGTGTACAGTAAAGTGAATCAGTTATACATATACATATATCCAGGTGGTTTTTTAGGTTTTCTTCCCCAATACAGGTCATTACAGAGTACTGAACAGAGTTCCATTTGCTGACAGTTGGTTCTCATTAGTTATCTATTTTACATATATTAGTGTGTATGTGTTAATCCCAATATCCCAACTTATCCCCTCTTCCTCTTATTCCCTGGTAACCATCAGTTTGTTATCCATATCTGTGACTCTACTTCTGTTTTGTGACTAAGTTCATTTATACCTTTTTTCTTAGATCCCACGTATAAGCAGCATCATGTGAGGTTTGTTTTTCTGTGTCTTAGTTCTCTCAGTCCATCCATGTTGCTGCAAATGGCATTTTTGTTCATTGTTATGACTGAGTATGGTGGTTTTGTCACTGAAAGCTGTGTCTGATTCTTGAGACCCCATGGACTGTAACCTGCCAGGCTTCTCTGTGGAACTCTCCAGAGAGGATACTGGAGTGGGTTGCCATTTCCTTCTCCAGGGGATCTTCCTAACCCAGGAATCGAACCCGGGTCTCCTGCATTGCAGGCAAGTTTACCAACTGAGCTATGAGGGATGGCTGAGAATATATATGTGTGTATATATATATGTATACACACCAAGTTTTCTTTATCCATTCCTCTGTTTCAGTTGCTTCCATGTTCTGGCAATTGTAAATAGTGCTACAATGAACATTGAGGTGCATGTATCTTTTTGAATTGTGGGTTTCTCTGAGTATATGCCTAGGAATGGAATTGTTGCATCATATGGTAGTTCTGTTTTTATATATACATATTCCTTTTCAGATTCCTTTCCATTTGGGTTTATTATAGGGTATTGAATATAGTTCCCTGTACTACACAGTAGGACCTGTTGTTTATCTGATCTTCTTTATATTGTTTATCTTATTTTATACATTTTTCTGTTTTTTCTTTTTGGATCATAGAAAAAGCACAAGAGTTCCAGAAGAACATCTACTTCTGCTTTATTAACTATGCCAAAGCCTTTGTGTGGAAAGCAACAAACTCTGGAAAATTCTGAAAGAGATGGAAATACCAGACCACCTGGCCTGCCTCCTGAGAAATCTGTATGCGGGTCAAGAAACAACAGTTAGAACTGGACATGGAACAACAGACTGGTTCCAAATCTGGAAAGCAGTATATCAAGGCTGTATATTGTCACCCTGCTTATTTAACTTGTGTGCAGAGTGCATCATGAGAAATGTTGGACTGGATGAACCACAAGCTAGAATAAGATTGCCAGGAGAAAAATCAATACCCTCAGATATGGAGATGACACCACCCTTATGGCAGAAAGCGAAGAAGAACTAAAGAGCTTCTTGATGAAAGTGAAAGAGGAGAGTGAAAAAGTTGGCCTAAAACTCAACATTCAGGAAACTAAGATCGTGGCATCTGGTCCCATCAATTCATGGCAAATAGATGGGGAAACAGTGGAAACAGTGAGAGACTTTATTTTGGGAGGCTCCAAAATTACTGAAATGGTGACTGTAGCCATGGAATCAAAAGACGCTTGCTCCTTAGAAGAAAAATTATGACCAACTTAGACAGCATATTAAAAAGCAGAGACATTAGTTTGTCAACAAAGGTCCATCTAGTCAAGGCTATGGTTTTTCCAGTAGTCATGTATGGATGTGAGAGTTGGACTATAAGGAAAGCTGAGCGCTGAAGAATTGATGTTTTTGAATTGTGGTGTTGGAGAAGACTCTTGAGAGTCCCTTGGACAGCAAGGAGATCCAGCCAGTCCATCCTAAAGGAAATCAGTCCTGAATATTCATTGGAAGGACTAATGTTGAAGCTGAAACTCCAATACTTTGGCTACCTGATACGAAGAGCTGACTCATTTGAAAAGACCCTGATGCTGGGAAAGATTGAAGGTGGGAGGAGGAGGGGATGACAGAGGATGAGACGGTTGGATGGCATCACCAACTCTATGGACATGAGTTTGAGTAAACTCTGGGAGTTGGTGATGGACAGTGAGGCCTGGTGTGCTGCAATCCATGAGGTCGCAAAGAGTTGGACTCTACTGAGCGACTGAACTGAACTGATATTGTATTATGATCACAAAAAGAAGCAACTAAAAGAAAAAGAGCCCTTTAGAAGAAAGGCCACAAGAAAGGATCTGACTTTACTGTGGACCAGTGATTTGAGTAATTGGTGTCTTTCAAAGGCCTTTTTATGCAGAGGGATGGGCTGGTCTGGTGGCCACAGGTATATATATGGCATCAGCTGTTAGGAACATTCCCCTGATTACACCCTATTCCCTCCCACCCCCCTCAGGCCCTGTGTACTTTCTCTTGGCTAAGGGTGGGTTGTGGACACTTGCTGATGGTTATGGAGCCCACCTGGGAAACTGATAACATGAAACCAGTGCCCTTGGGGCTGCCTGTCCAGCAGACATGGTGTGGAGCAGTCACTGTTTCTGTGAATCAAGTGTCAGGGCCTCATTTCCCCTCATTAAATGAGAAGACTGTAAATGAGAACCATAATGTCTGGTCCTCCTTCAGAGAGGCATTCAAGGAATCAACAGAATAGTATCTGTAACTAGCTGTGGGCAAAATCTCTCTAGCTTTACTCCATTTATTAGTAATGTCCTGAGTGGATTCCTAGAACTGTGGATGGAAAGGACTCTTGCTTGAGAGGCCCCCAACCAGTCCCATCTGCAAGGAGAGCTCTGGGCTCATTCTTCTCGCCTTCCCTGTATAACTTATTTATGGCTCTAAAACCCAGCAGAGTCAGTAATGTCCTTCTATCCCTCTTTACATCTTTCCACTCTTAAACTGCATCCCTCCTGGGACTTCATTCAAAGGAGTCCCTTAGTCTTCTTTGGAGTTCCTCCAACTTCTCTGCATTCAATTCAAGAAGCTCTAAACACAAGCTTTCCTGTAATAGATGCTAAGTAGTCTTGCTTGAGCAGAGTAAAAGACAATTTATATCCTTCAGTGCTATACAAATGTGATTCTAGGCTGAGGGAATATATAGAGAGAAATTAGGGGCTTTGGTGAGCTGAGATCAAAATTCTGCTGCATAGCCCCCTGCCAGTGACCACAGGTGAGTCAGTTACTTTGCTTTGCCTCCGTCCTTAGAAGGTAGAAAAGAATATGTACTAATTCTTCAAAAGGCCCCTGTGAGGAGTAAATGAGATAGTGTATATAAAGTGCTTGGTTTATGTTGTGCATTTTTTTTTCATACAAAACTGGCTTAACTACAAGTCAGTTTCTTCATCTGGTTTTCAATAGAAGAAATGTGATCTGCTCCAAAGCTGGAGAAGAAAAAGCAGATTTACTGACAAACAGAACTGTCCTATTCTGTAAGAGATGTTCAAGAGTAATTTTAAGGATGTTTAATTTTTGCCTAAATGCTGATTTTAAAGCTGAGCTCTATGATAAGATCCAACTTCCTTATGGGAGAGTTTGCCTTGCAATTTTATTCTCAGCAGTTTACAGCCCAGTGCACTTTTGAAAGCTTAGTAAGATTTTGGGAACCATTGACTCAAAGATAAATAATTTATCACTTATAGTCCTCACAAAGGGATAGCTTGATTTGGAAATATCTCCTTCCCAGAAATCCCTATGAAATAGGAGGGGGAAAAAACATACGTGAGCAGTGTTTGGAATAATCAGTGCTTGAGAGTTAAACAGTACGCCCCCAGCTTTGCAGGACAGAGTAAAAACTGTTGCAAATTGGACAACATCCCATAGATTCACTAACAAATAAATGAAGAAAAAATCCAAAACCTTAACGTGTCTCCCATACGTCCATCAAGATAAATAACAGGTAACAACCACTTATAGTAGACTGGGCACTGTTTTATGCAAATCGTATGTATTAAGTTATTTATCCTTTTATGAATTTATGGGCAAGTATTGTTTCTGTTCTGACTTTCTAGGTAAAGAAGCTTAGGTACAGAGCGATTAAATTTTGCCACATGTACCAAATCCCGGGGTTTTATGGCATGTGTGGTAGAGCTGGATTCAGACCCAGGTAGTGGGTGCCAAGAAGCCACCTTGTATCGGCTGCGTCTCTTGAGTGTCTCTGGTTGGGAACTCCTGGCCCAGCCCAGTCTTTATCCCTAACTGGGAGAGCAATTACAGTAGTGTAGTTAAATGCACATATTTTAGTGTCTCAAATTTCATCTTTTAATCCTGGTTCTACCACCTAGTGGAGGAGCAGGAAGGGAATTGATTACCTTCCCCGCTCCCTCTATCTCAAATCCTAGCTGGTTAAGAAACTGAGGTCTACAGGATTTAGATATTTAAAATAGAAATCATATTCTGTACCCAAACACTGAGTTGTTTTGCCACCTCTGAGTCAGCTTGCTGTACTCAAATCATCATGCATTCAGAAAGCTTCTTATACATCAGCTGTACTAAGTGGTGGTGGGTTTTTTGTTTTGTTTTGTTTTTTAATAGTTTAACATGGATAAGGCATTGTGAATTATGGAGAAAATTAGTGTATTAACACTTTAAGTTAATTCTAATAAGATAAATTTTTATTATTGCTCTGTGATTTGGTACATAATCTTCACTATCAGTTGGAGCCTAAGTATTGTATTGATTTAATATTTAAGCAGTTAGTAGGAATGCTTACCACTTATTGAGTATTTACTTTGCACTAGGAGCTTACTTAAGATTTTTCATTCACTTTTCAGTAAGGTTGGTAGGTATCTTTCCTCCTCATTGTTGATGGCAATTGTTGATGGCAATTGAGTTATAGAGCAGTCTCCAGTAATTAGCTTCAGTTCTCATTATAACCTAGAGTGATAGAGGAAGTCTGAAAACTTTGAATCATTCTAATGTTTTCTTGTGCATATTTAACCGCAATCCTTTACTCCTTCCCAAAGAATTGATAAAGGCAAAGCTATGTTTGTAGCTTCAGACTTGCTACATCACAGCTTTAAAGGCCAGTATCTATGGAATATGTATCTAATACCATTTTGTTACAAAATTTGCATAGTTGTTGATCCCTTGAGCACCTGACCCCAAAATTAATCTCTAATCTGGCAGATTCCATACTCTGATCCTCACTAAAGAAATCTTCAAACTGAAAAAAACAAAAGGCTTATTTATGGGCTCTCTCAAAAACTATCAATGTTATGCAGAAAGGAAGAAAAATCAAGTGACACTTCTCCTCAGAAGGTGACAAAAGCTTGGCTCTGATTAACTCAACCACTGGCTCTGAATTATTTCATAGTAGCAAGGGCAAAAATTCTTGGCTGTGTTAATCACATTTGGATGAGACATCAGGTTTTATAGAAATTATCCCCACATCGTTGCTTTGTTTCTGGCACATTAGTACAGCTAATTCATGAGCAGAATGAACAAGCCTTGCTTGCAGCAGAGAAGATCTTCCTTTGGTGAAACAGAGCCACTATAAGCTGTCCTCCAGAATCTGGGAAAAGATTGTGTTAGTCTGTTACACATGTTTTGCTTTTGAATTCAGTTGGCCACCAACAAGTCTGTGATCATAATAACTGTTTAAGGCAATAGGAAGCCTAGTTATAGGACATCAGTTTCAGTTTCTTCCTAGTTTATTTTTCAAAAATGCTTTTTCTAGATTACTTGGTGGTTCAGATGGTAAAAAATCTGCCTGCAATGCAGGAGACCTGGGTTTGATCCTTGGGTTGGGAAGGTCTTCTGGAGAAGGGAACAGCTTCCCACTCCAGTATTCTGGCCTGGAGAATTTCATGGACAGAGGAGCCTGGCAGGCTATATAGTCCATGGGGTCACAAGGAGTCAGACATGACTGAGCAACCTTCTCTTTCAGATTACATACACGTTTACACACCATTTCAGGCCATATGAACTTCTTTATTGTGTGACCTGTTTACTAACCAAAATGTATGACTGAGAGAATGTAAACACAAATGAGCCAATCCACAGTGGAAATGGGAATCAAAGCAACTGATCTGAACTTGAGGAGCTCCTTCCTATTTCTCCTCTATCTCAAAGGTGTATACACAGATATGGGTCAGATCTGTTGTTGCCACATGTGCGGACATGGAGTGACAATTCTCTATTGGAACTGAGACGACAAGGGGGACCCAGAGAGCAAAGATGATTGGTGAGGAGTAGTAAGGGTGGTTGTCCTTCCCTCC